CTGTTGTTTTAAAAAGTTTTTTAAAATGTTTTAAAAAACCTAAAAAACTGTTTAAAACGTTTTTTTTCCATCCCTAACTGGCATACGATAATGCATAATTTTTTTTAATATTTATTCTGTATAAATATTTATTCTGTATATAGTAATTATACCTTGATGTACTACGTATGCTTTGCAGTTCTAAAAGTTAGGCCTCATATTGGTTCCTCGCGTTAATTTTTACATTAAATTTAAATACTGTACTGTATTTCATTAAATTAATACATCTTATGTAACAAGAATTTTTCAAAAATTTATTTATAAATTAAAGCGTATTTCATGAATAAAGTATGATACTTGAATCAAAGTTAATGATGAATAGACAATTCTTCAATTCACTCTTTATTATTTTTCTCATTCATTTGTTAGCATTAACCATCGATGCTAAACATGCTAGACATAAATATCATCCGCAATCTCTTAGAACATGTACTATCACTGATATTAGTTCTGAAACAGTAACATCCACTATAACCTGTTCAACAGAAACACCTACCTTGAGCGCTTGCCCTGATAACAAACAGGTGCCTCATGATTGCGACAAGTGCGAACAAACAACAGTAACTTGCACACCTACTTCAACCGTTTGTGCACCTACCTGTATTCCTAGTGGAGGTCCCTGTGACTTAAATAATCCGGGGGCATGTTGCAATCAAATTTGCTTTGCAATCGGCGGCTGCGGTTAGGGATGGAAAATTACCGTAATTTTACGTTATTTTGTGTAATCTTCTGAAAATCAAAATTACATGTAATTTTTATCATGTGACAATATTTAGAATAAATATTGAATTTATTTTTATTTTAGTTAGATTTAGTGGCTATAATATAGTTAGGTATTAGTAAGCATAATAGCAAAATTGCTCAAAAAAACTTTTATTAATATATAAATTTTTGAGTTATAAATAAACTGAATATTTATTTGAATTTTTTTCTAATTAATATGTGATTTGTAATTTCTGGTCCAAATTTTTATATGATTTTTTAGTGATACTTGTAATATACTAATACTCCAACAATTTAGTACGTATTATTCAATTGTTTTATTAAAAAAATCAGCAAAGCATCAGGAAATTTTTAAATTGGTTGGCAATCGATTGACAGATAGAAATGCCAATCAATAAGCAACACCCCTGCCGATTGACAGTGATACAGATTAGAATCGATTGATGCTAATTACGTGGCTGAATTAATATTTTCGGAATTACGAATTAAATTGCCGAGATTAGTATCATTATATTATCAAATTATTTTATTGACATCGATATATAACCGCAGCTAGGGATGTATTACATAAATTACTTTGTTACGTTTCATGTAAATTACATTGTAACTTACGAAATTGTAATGTAACT